TAAATTTCATTTCTTGATTTCATCCCTACTTAACACATCCCTGACTCTTAATGAGATGCCCCCTCTCAAACTACGCAAATGACTGCATTTTACGCTGATTGTATATAACTGCACTTAAAATTTCATGTGTACACTGAGAAGACCGCCTGCCGCACCCTTTGCAGTCCCGCATTGTGAAAGTTTTCCGTGAACAAATATGTTACTGACAAAATTTTAGTAAGATGTACATTTAAGATTTATATTTTATGTACCGTTTTCAATAGGGTCATCAAGGGCATTGCCTATTACCCTAAATACACTACACTATCAATAGTGGTGAAAATGCGATTCCCGGGTGGCATATCAAAAGAAGAGGAGGCGTTCACCGGGAGAGGTGTATTTGAGGTCTGACGTTTCGGGTAGTCGTTTCTTCTACCCATCTTCAGAGACTGAGCAGTCGTGCACACAGCTCAGTGACCTGCTTCGTCAGAATTACGACGAGGGCGATGGCCAGCCCACAGCTCAGGATCTCATAGAACTCATGGGGCACTGCCTCAAGACATTTTTTACCTTCGAGGGGATCACCTATGAGCAAATTAAGGGCACTCCGATGGGTTCACCAATCTCCGGACTCATTGCCAAGGCCGTTCTGCAAAAACTCGAGGAACGACTGTTCGGGGAATACAAACCCAAGTTTTGGGCGCGCTACGTTGATGATACCTTCGTAATCATCGATCAGGATAAAATTAGCTACTATGAAGAACTGTTAAACTCAATCATCCCCGACCTACAGTTCACGATGGAAGAAGAAGTGGAGAGCAAACTTTCATTTTTGGATGTTCTCATCTGCCGCCAACCAGACGGTAAACTGGCGACTTCAGTCTACAGAAAACCGACGAACACGCTGCAAATGCTCAGTTACAACAGCAACCACCCACTGCAACACAAACGAAGCTGTGTACGCACACTATACCGACGAGTGGAAACTCATTGCAGCACTCCAGTCGCCAAACTGGACGAGATGAAGCTCCTACAAGAACACTTCAGAGCCAACGGCTATCCGCGAACATTCGTTGAACGGAGCCGAAAGCAACCAAGGATGAGGAATGAAGAACCTATTCAGCCAAAATCTTGGCGGAGCATTCCATACATGAAAGGGGTCTCCGAAGCCGTAGCCAGATCCCTCGCGCCGCTCGGAATAGGCGTTGCCCACAGGCCCGACTCAACAATCCGCCGGCAAGTGATGCGGCCAAAAGACCCGATCCCTAAACAAGAGATGTCGGCTGTTGTCTACCGACTTCAGTGTAGCTGCGGAATGTGTAACTACGTTGGGGAAACCGGCCGACGGCTGCAAACGCGCATGCACGAGCATAAGTTGGCCGTGCGAAGGTTGGACCCAAAGTCGGAGGTAGCAACCCATGCCGCCCAAATGGGACACGTCTTCAACTTTGACGCCGTTGAAATTGTGGGCCGAGGAGATGATCATACGGCAAGGCAGGTACAAGAAGCCTGGATGTCTACCGACTGTTCTGTCAACCGCCACATCAATTTACCTCCCCCTTATCTGGTTTTAAGGACATTCTTGACGGGGGACAGTCACGGCGCGGGACAATCGGGGCCGCCAATTATCACCGCGGCCGACGAAGATGGGCGGGATTCAGGTCACGGTGACATGCGGGTCGGATGCAGCCACACAGGCGGCATTGATGGGCCAGGCTTTGAACAAAGTGCGCCATAAAAAGGAAAGCTGTGTGCACGACTGCTCAGTCTCTGAAGATGGGTAGAAGAAACGACTACCCGAAACGTCAGACCTCAAATACACCTCTCCCGGTGAACGCCTCCTCTTCTTTTGACACTACACTATACACGGATGCTTGCTCATGGAGATGCCGGTGGCGTGCCAACATAATTAGGTCCAGGGTCAGTGAATTTTCTTCAGAACACCTACTTTCTTAACATAAGTAGGATTACTTTCTCCTTGAAACTGCATTAGTTTGCGTTCTTTGCCTGCTTAACAGTTCAGAAGCGTATCGCCGGCCATAATCCGTCCGCCTCGTTAATGCTAAATAAAACAGCCCGTCATGTCGCAGCATCAGCGGTGACACCCTGGTAGCTCAGGCAGCAGACAGTCCGACCAGAATTTGAGAAGTTGACAGTTCGATTCCGTCTAGGACGGAAGTGGTAGGCTTGCGGACTTTCTGTTGCCAAACAATTTACAACACAAAAAACAACGTAGTTGGCATTTTAATGAATCGTCACTCGACTATGAAATTTTACCCATCATTTTCATTGAGAACCACTAATACCAAAGCATTTGTGGTGTAAAACTGAGGTGGAATTATGCTAGGGATTTCTGTTCACCATCAACCTATCTACTTGTTCCCACTGTCTTTACGTTTCTGCAGCGAGATTAACTCAGAAAACAGATGAATTGGGAGCAAGTGAAAGCCCAGGCACTAACTACCGTTGACGCGTGTCAAACATGCGCTTGTACCTTCTCCAAACCAAACCTGACCTCACATACCAGTGGACGTACCAATTTCGGTTGCTGCAGATGTCGAATTGAGAAGCAACTATCGCAGCACGGCTCTCAGCCCCAAGAAGTAAGCATCGTACAGCCCAGCAAGGCCTAAAGTTACGGGTTCTAAGCTGCCGTGAGGCGTTGAGTAAGCGTCAAGGAGATCCTGAGGGAAATCATTGCCCATTGTCAGCCTCCATCTCATCCGCTGCGACGTGTTTCAACTAAAAGACCACATCAAGGAAACCGACGATGAGTTTGGCGGCCACAGTGGAATTAGACTTCGCCTCTGGGTGCTGCATCCATACTTCAATCCGGACATACAGCCTGTCAGAGTATCGACTATTATCAAACTTGGCACCAAACACCACCAGTATTGGCGGTCAAACAGTCTCTTAATTAGCGAACTAGGTCTCATCTCCCAGAGACTACTGTTGAAGTTTCCAGGGTAGTTTTCTCAGAGGAAAAAGCAGAAAAGTGTCTGAGCAGCGACACGAAAAGTTTATTCGTCCGATTCCTCAACGTTGCTAAAGGGTGATTTTCGGCGACACGCAGGACGGCCACGAGCACTGGTATCTACAGCACCTTTTACCAAATGAGAGACGACTGTCGCCTGTCAGCAAATGCAATCCTGGATGTTGGTGCCCGTACGGATGTCGGATGTGAGGAGTTATTGCACTCGGACCAGCGCACTTGGTCTTATTTGCACTCCTTCCACCCTGCTTGTGAAATTTTCGTCATGTCGGCAAAGCCGGAATGCTTACTTCCTTCTAACTGCCACGTTTTAGCTATTGCCGATGTAACTAACCTCATCAACGCTGGAGATATTACTCCTTCGCGAGTGACGGTAGGTGGTAGCGAATCTGGATAGCTCGAACCACTCACGTCGTCAGTGTCGAAGAAGGAAGGCTTAAAAACAACTTCTATGTCGTGACGGAAAGCGTCCAGCTAAGCGCTGAGATGACTTCTTTGTCGTCACCTATAGCCAGGCGAGTGTCGGAGTGAGGACAACTTAATGGTGTCAGAGTGTCGGGCGACGGGGAATGTATCCGAATAGCTTCAGCCCTCCTCTTGTATTATCCTAACTATCTTAATAATGCTGTCACGGAATGTGCGGTTGTCCCTTTGGAGTACTTTACTTAAAAAATCTATCACGGGAAACGGTAGCCAAAACTTCGGTTTTTCGTTGCTTAACCACTTTCGACATTTGCGGCCATATATGAGGACCGATCGGACGAGTGCCAAAGACACGCGCACCTTGGTGGCAACGATGATGTAGCGACGGCGCAAGAGACGCCTTCGAAAGCTCTCAAAGTGCTGTGAGTTGCATCGAGTCAGACGACGTTTCCATACTTCATTTGTTGGGCAAACATGTGGCTCCGAGTACCTTATACCTGTCCGCCTCTTCAAACCGACAGTAATTAGTCACGAGGTGCCCTCTCCTAGTCAGAGATACGGTCCCAGAATATTTCGATCTTCGCAACTCTTGTGGATGAGCAGACCGACGTGGGACGACGTCCATCCAAGATACCGCATTCAGCGTACCACCACCACCGCAGCGACCCAAGAAGTGATGTCGATCCAAGGAACATGTCATCTGTTCTCGGTACAATGGGCCAATACAAGAATGTACTTCCGAACAGCAAATACTGCAGAACTGATCTGACTAGAGCCGTAGTGCAAATTCTCCCAAAAACCGTTCTTGACTCCATCCGCAGAAACTTCTTCGTCAATCACTTTACCCACAATTGTGGGGATTAAGTTAATTATGGGAATGCGAGCGCCTTTCGCTGAGAGCTCAAACACTGCTACTTCCGTATAGGAACTTCGCCTAATAGTTTTGATAATAAGTGCCTGTACTGGGTCGAAACACGTTTCCATCTACCCTCAAATATGGCAGACGTCAGCAGTATGTCAGGGACCGCCTCAACTAATAACATTTGTTAACATTCCGAAATCAAAGCGTTAAATCTGTACAGACCTTCGATAGGCATCCTCTGGATTCAAGGGGCGCTTTAACCTCGGCCGACCGACCGACCCCAGTATGCAAACAATTAATCACAACCGTTTCTCGCCGGCCGAATGTGCTCCGGCTTAGCCGATATTTGTAGTGGCGTGCACCTAGGATTGAGCAATCAGAGGCGGGACACTTTGACTAATCTGGCTGCTGTTGCTGCTGTTTCCAAATATTAACAGTCTTCTTTTCGTTAAAAATATACAAGTCTAAATAAAATTCAACAGCAAGGAGGACGAGGGCACAGAGAGAAATCGCCGTGGAAATGTGTGAATAGCCCACCTCGAATCAGGGCGAAAGCAAATGGCGGTAGTTTCTGTGGTCATGTAGGAGCACGTGTGAGGAAAGACACGTTAGTGGAGGGAAGAACTGACGAAATAAAATTGCAAAATCAATTGTCTTATGGGAGTGATGGGGTGCGGGAGATTGAGTGGAAGGGCAAAGAAGACAGCGAGTACTGAAATACTGCGGTTGGAGGTGTGCGGATCACTACACTTTGCTGTAAAGTAGGAGATAAGGGGTGGCAAACTGTTGACGATTGACTTGATCCAGACTAGTGAAGGACGCTGAACAGTCGTCAAAGGAGACCCAGTTGCTGTCCACCTTCGCAACGCATGTGTAGTGTCCGCAGCTCAGAGAGAGGCCATGGTGCAGAATCATGCCCTGCAGTTTGTACACATGAATACTACTCTCGTCGGCGACATCGGGGCCTGGAGATGGCAATGGCTGTTGTTCGCGAGGCTCACCGTCAAGAGAGACGACTTGACAGGTTGAGGAGGGTGCGGCCTCCGTGGTTGAGGTGTCCGGAGGAGGCACGGATGGTTGCTGTGAGAGTGGGGAGTTTTTTGGCACACGGACCGAAAGCAGCTCGTTGATGCGTACACGCCGCATCACCTTGTGACAGGCTTGTGTGGCACGGTTGTATGCAAAGAGATTCAGGCCGATGAGGACGTGCGGTGACAGATGTCGCAGACTGAGTTGGCGTTCTCGCACACTCTCCCGGCCACAAGCCTCGCACTCTCCCGCACCGGTTACGCATTCGGAGCGCGCAAAGTGCGTCTCAACTAAGGTGGCGATGTCTGCCGTGGCAGAATTTGCCGGCGGCTTTTCCGACTGGAAGATGCAAAAGCAGCAGGGTGAAACATTACTGGCAAAGTCAAAGAAGACGGGCGCGACCGCCTGACATATTTGAGATTATTAACCCGCCCTAAATTAGTCGGTGCTGACTAAGCCGGGAAGTCCCTGCATTCCGGTTTCAGTTAGATCTCAAATGTTTGTCACTGTGCGATCGTCTAGAATGGAGTTCCGGGACAAAATAGGAGAGCTGTACTCCGCCCTGTAGTCAGGTCACATATGTGTAAGACGCCACTATACGACTGGTTAGAACGCTGAGGACGCTCTTTAGTAATGAAAGCAATTAAAAAGTGCCAGTACTTTCCGGTTTGGAAAATAAAAGTACAAATAAATTCGTCAAAAAGAAACACGCCACACACCTTGACCATTGATCCCCTGCCACTTATGGCAAATCTGGTATTTACGAAATTTGGTGCACAGGTTATTTCAGTGAAAAACTGGTAAAGATTATAATAAACGACAATTAATTGACATCACAATAAAGACGAAGTGACAACGGTAGTGTATGTGACCCCATCGATAAAATTTGAGACAAGGACTCCCTTAATGCCGGAACAGTGGTAATAGAGGTTTCGTGGATTGGGCATACGAATGCGACGTACAACCGATTTTAGAAAAGAAAAATGTGAAAAAAAACGCATCGACGCCATTCGTTTGTTTAAGTACTCCACATATGACCTAAATTGGGAGTGCGCAAGTTTTAAAAATTCGGCATTAGTGGCCTCTAAATGAGATGGGGGAAATGGAAGACGTGGGCACTGGTCAACCAGTGAAGGCGAATTCGTCGCAGTCCGTGATCATCAATCGGGACTAAGGTGAAATTGTGAAGGTTACAGCGGATATTATGGCCGACATGATGGCCACAATGGAACTTGCGGGGGAAGTTGAGAATGTCGAAAGTGAAAGTTAAGCCTATATTGTTCGGTAGGAAGTGAGCCAAGTCTTTTGTGTGAAAAGTATGGATACGCTTGTGAGCGTTGAAGTACTTGCTGACTTGCACTACTTGTACTTGGTACGGCTGTGATCATGCGTAATCTAGCCAGCCTCGATGATGTCCCGAACTGTACTTCTCAGCGTGCGACGATCCGCGACAGCAGATCTATACAGTCCAACTTATTCTTTTTGTCATCGACGGAGAGCGAATACCGAAGGCCAAAGAACCACCTCCATGTCTTGACGAAATGTGTCGAGTCAGGCATTGAGTTGACCCCCTCTTTGACGCCTCCAATGGGGTAACGGTACCGGATCGAAGGCAGTAACATTGAGCTCATGAAGTGGTCGACTGAGAACATGCCCAAACCACCTCAGTTGTCTTTCCTGGATGGCCTGGGTTATCCTTGCGATGTTGCGCAGCAAGTGCGGACTCTTTCATTTGAGATGAAGTCGGTGTACTTCACTCGCAGGATGGTCCTCAAACAGCGGTGGCCAGATACCTCCAGTTCCTACCTATCCTCCACGCGCACAGCCCAGCATTCACAGCCATAGAGAAGGACGGGACGGACAGATGCACGATACACACGAATATTAGTGACGATGGAGATGCCGCGTCGTATCCATAGGTGTTTTCTAAGGCTTGAAAAAATCCGTCGGGCATCATCAGTTCGGGAGACAATGTCGTCTTTACTCTGTCCATTCGGTAGCAGTCTCGCCCCGAGGTATTTAAAAACTGTCTACTTCAAGTTGACAGCCATCAATCCCGAGAGGTGCCTTCTCCTGGTCAGGGATGCGGCTAGAAGACATCTTAGTCTTCTCAGCGTTTATGGATAAACCGACCGATTGGGCGACCTCGTTCAGCCCTGACACCATAGGCTGCAGACCACCAAAACTTGAAGCGAGTAAGGCAATATCATCGGCATAGTCGAGATCAGTCAGCCGGTGTCCGGGTACAAACTCGTAACCGTCACCATCGTGTGGCATCCTCCCGAAAATCCAATCAATCGCGTAGTTGAACAGAATTTGCGACAGGATACGACCCTGTCGAACGCCAGACCGAATACCAAACGGGTTGTCCGTTGGCGTGTCTGCTGGCTACCTGGCGCGTCCACGAATGGCGGATAGTGAGACGGCCTTCAGTGAAGGTTGGCTACGAGGTATGCAGATCCAGGTCTGACGAATAAGTAATCGCGGACCAGCAACGACAGTGCTATCAGGGTGCGGAGGGCTGAGGTCTGGCATACTGAAAGCCTTATAAAAAAAAGCCACAAGAATCGATGACGGCACTGTAACAAGACCATTGTGAACTATCATTAAATAAGTTTGCTTGCCACCGCTGCCTTGTGGTTAGGCTTTTAAACCAAAGCGCTAGAGACAACCTCAAACAAACAATCCGAACGGCTGTTTGGGACCCGTCCGTACTCAAAATTTCCGAGAAACCTCACGAAATATGTCCGACTACAGAACTACGACCCATGCTGCAGCGTCCGCGGGGACCGATCTGTTTGCTGACGAAAGCAAATAAGAAAAAAATGAATGGTAGATTATGCAGCACAGAAGGAAGAGTGTCGTAATCTATGTTTTACCTAGTCCCCATATCCGTTAAACTGACCAACTGTAGGCCAAGAAGACTGCAGGTGGAGTCGTCCACGCCATTGAAGAAAGTTCAGCAGGCAATTTTATCGCCACAAATAACTAACAACCTATCTGTGGCTTGGAAAAACCTCCTGAAGCACATAGCGGACGCGTATCTGTTTCAGACGAATGTCACCACAAACAGCCGCCCAAGAATTCTCGCGGCGGGTATAACCGCCAAGGAGAACCGGCGGACAAAAGTGGCAAAAGTGTGAGTAAAAGCAGCCGGTCCTTGAATCCCTTGGCCGCTTTCACAACGATTGTCGTTAGTGCGAGCATTAAGAACAAGATTAGAATTGTCGGTAGTATTAGGTGAAATTTCAGTTGGTAATGACGGGGAGTTAGTAGACGGGTTCTACTTACGCCATTGCGTCCGAGTGAAAGGCACGGTCAGTGCCGTGATTTGGATTAGGAGGACGCGGAAGCTGCAGGAAGAGCAAGAGGGTTATCGGTATGGGATCAAGATGCGCCGATACGACGAACGCCGACGGATATACGATGTAGTCTAGGCGTGCGAATCTTGTACAAGCACACGGAAGTGGAAACAGTGAGTCGGCGACAACCGCCAAGACAGGGATGGCTGTGCGGAAGGTGACCGGTGTGGGGGGAAAAGCAGAACTACTTTAAGAGGATGGCTGCGTCTAAGGCAGGCAGGGGTTAAGGGTAGTACGCCGGGTAATAGTAAGCGGCGAAAGACAGTGACAGGTGTGTGCAGACACATCTAGGGCACACTGTCAATTAGCTCTATGATGCTGGTCTAGTCAGCAGTACTTAAGGGAACACCGTTTGGTAGATAAACCAAGGAACGTGTGCTGAACGCAGAAGAGTGAGCGCACTATATCCGACTCAGTACCGCCAAACCCCGGTGAGTGATAAGAAACAGAGAAGTCTGACGGTTATGCGAGAAAGAAAGAGCACAGACGCAAGGCGATCAGCTGGCTAACCCGCAGGAAAACGGTATGTCACAGTTGCCGAAAGTGACGACAACGGTAAAGCTTGTACAACTGATGGCAACTGCCAACCGGTACGGAAGCCTTCGTAGAAGTTAAGTAGAAAGTAGACGGCCTCGGCGAAAGCCAGTGAGTTTCGAGCGCAAGTACACGGTCCTCATGCGTCACAGCCTGCCTAAACATACAGTAGCACCAGTAGACGAGTCACCAGTTCTACCGCAACTACCAATGAATGGTGAAGAAGTGGCTGACTGCTAACCTTGCCGGTGAACATACTTATGTCTTTCCCAGACGCGCGCAGGAAGAAAAGGGGTAAGAGCAACAGAGAGATATCGGCAGGGGGGAGGGAGGGAGGGGGGGGGGGGTGCACACCGAAAGAGGAGTCACTAACTTCTCTGGTAGGGCGACAACGGAGCAGACAAACGTAGACAGGCAATTTCGACAGCACATCCACCCCGTAGCAGATAACGAAGGAAGTTTCAAATGACTCAGTGCGAAAAAGGAAAGCTTATTAGCAATTTCACTGGCATACATGGAGCGAAGCATTTATATGGAAACCTAATGAGTGGTAAACTGAGGCAAGTTATAGAGTATGCGGAAACGATGCAGGTATAGGCCTCTCCGCACACCAAAACCGGTATAGCCACGTCTCGCAGATTAGAAATGTGGCAAAATTTCCGTTATGGGATTTGGTAAGAGAGCATACCGTTAGCAAAACTAAACCTAACATTTGTCTTGATTTTAACCCTAGACCTGACCTTAGTCCTAACAATAACCCAAAGCATAACCGCAATCCTAACTCTAATCGTTGTCCTAAATCCCAATCCTAACCTCATCCATAAACCGTAAACCCCAACATAGTCTCCAACCCCCAACCCTAACTCCAACTCTAAACTATAAACTCCAACTGCTGACCCTGAGTACCGACCCTAACCCTGGCACTCAACTATAACCCTAATTCAAACCCTATTTTGTGGTAGGTGTTGGGGTTAGCGTTCGGATTAGGACTAGGTTTAGAATTAGGCTTAGGGTTAAATTTGAAGCTCCAGCTTAGCGGTGGGAGTACGCCTACGGGGAGGTTTGGCGCTAGCGTTGGTTCTAGCAGCAATATTAAGGTTAGGGTGTGATTAGGGTTAGGGGCATAAATAAGCTAGGCGGTAAGGGTTCTATTGGGCGTTAATATTATTGTCAGAATGAGTTCCGTTATCCCACAAACCATACTGTAATATGCCTACTTAAATGAAAGAAGCAGGCTTAATCGTGTCATATGGATTAGGCGGGGTCACATACGCTATCGTCACCGACGGAATGCCCGCTAAATACGCCGGGGCTTTGATAGTCCAAATTATGTGCTCCACGCTGAATAACATTGGAAACGCTCTTAGGCATGATTTAACGCCTCCGTTGTAGTTGGGTGTTGGCAGTTGCTGCCGCTGCTGCTTCTGCCAACAAGATAAACCAGAAGGGTAACTTCAGACAAATCACTCACAGTGGAGTTACAATCCGAAGAGAAGGACGCAGAGGTGTCAATGGGAAGAAAGAGGCAAATGAAGTCCTCCAGCTCAGCACTTGAAACGTGGTTACACTGAGAGCAGATGGTACGACGGGAGAGTGTCCCACCGAAAAGGCTGCGAACGATTGATCTTTCGGACACATCATTGGGCAAACGTTCGACCACTTCATTGCCTGAAGATAAGCATTCAATTTCCATCAACTCCTCACGCTGTCCACTGAGCTTAGGCGATGCCCCCTGAGTGAGGGATTCAAATGAACCAGTAGTAGAGACCGAGCTCCCGAATGACGATAATTGATGTCGACGACCACCGTCGTCGGATGGCTCAGCCATTAACTTCAACTGGTTAACCCTCCGTTTCGATTGAAGTTCCTCCTCGTGAAGGCAGTCCAGAAGGTGGTTGAGATATTCAGCTGAATCCTGTTGCTCCCCTTGGACAAAGTGAGACGGTTTGGAGAGTGTCAGCACAGCTGATGGATCATAGGCTGTCTGGAGCGGCTGTAAGTCAATAAAGACTACTTAACTTCCGTTTTCCTAATCATCATCAGAAACACTTACACATATCAAATGACTTTTACGGACAAAAACGGACGTTAGGTAAGGGTCCACATGTTAATGATAAGGGAGTCCTGATCATAAAAAGCGAAACCGAATTTGCAAAAAGATATGAAGTTGCCAACACTGTGTTTCCCACTCTGTGAGAAATGCACGACTGTCGGAAAAGAATCATCAGGTTAACTGGCGTCCTCTTGGGTCGACTTTCACTGGAAAATCAAGCTAAAAACAAACATAGTCATTCTCCGGAAGAAGGACGATTGTAGGCCAAGGGGGACCAGGAGTTAATGAAATTACGGCCCGCGAACCCAGCCTCGGGTAAACTTACAAAGGTCCAACGAGGATGCCATGGATTAAACAGATGTCTCTTTCGAACTTACCTAATGCGACCGTAAATTTTGTAATTTGGGTGATCCGAACTACAGCCTTAACCAGATTCAAAAACAAGTAACTGGATAAACAAGTGTACTTTGCATAAATGACTTAAAATTCATACTAGAAAGGAACTATTCAATATGAGAACCATTGACATCAATGACTTCGATTCTCGGTGTGAACATGGCGCACGTGTTCTTGATGCACTCCGATGTCATCTTGTTCCACCCTCTAGCAATAGAGACCTGCAGGGCCTCAATACTGTTGTGAGGCCTGTTTCAGGCCTTCTCCTCGACATACCAAATGCTGTAGTCGAGGGTATTTAAATCTGGTGGCCACATATCCTTGGGTCAGAAATACGGCATGTAGTCTTCCAGCCACTTCTGTGTCTTCCGTCACTTATGTGTAGGCGCGCCACCTTGCTGAAAGGCCACATTGTCGTCTAGGACGTAGTTGGAATCTATCCAAGGCTTGACGTGCTTCTGAAGAACATCTGTGTTCACCCTGGCCCCGGCCTTGATGAACACAGGGGGCATGAGATTGCCGTCTGAGGCGATCAGGCTAAAGACCATCACAGACGCAGGATGCTTTGTCTGAAACTTGTACTTAACAATCCTTCAGGAAGCTTATGTAGCGATCTGTTCGACTGTTGGACACCGAATCGATCGTTATGTTTCTCGTCGGAATAGACCACCGTGTGTGGTTCTTTCTTGAGGAAGCTTAAGATTCTCTTACTTCTTTCCAGTCTCTTCTCTTTCACCGTCTCAGTAACGAGATGCTTCTTGGTCCTTGCCCCTGATCTAGCCTTCAGGTCCTTTTTCAGAACACTACTGGCCGTCTGCTCCGACACCTCAGGCGTCAAGGCCATCTTCCTCATGCTCCGGACTGGACTGCAATGAATACGTCCTCGGACAGCCCTTATGAGAGGGGGCTTCAATTTTTTTGTTTTTCCACTACCAGGCTTCCTATCTACGTGGCCGAACTTTTTGTGACGGTCGATAATGGCGTAAACTGTTGACCTGGCCATTTCTAACATGACGGCGATGTCCGTGGGCGTGAGGCTTAATAACTGCCTCATTATTTTTCTCATGGCGAAATATTGAAAAACTTTTTCCAAGAAATTTTTATTGTATTGTTATTACGGTATTCTGAAGAAAAAAGGCATGGATCTCAATACAAATATTTTCAAAAAGTAGTGGTCAAACTACTACGAAATTTACAGTCGCATACGGTATTCTATTCCTGAAATCAGTTAATTACACTTTAGGGGGGTACGACGACTTTCTTGGTGAAGCAGTTCGATTTTATGCAGAGAAGGGGATGCCGACAGAGAGAGGGGAGACTGAGATGCTTATTTCTGTCTTACTAGTCATCAGTAGTCAGTCATATCCAACTCCAGGCCTGGATGACCCGAAATGCTAACCCACATTCCTTGATAAATTGAGCGTTAAGTAGTCCAACGCTCTACTATTCAGCCACGTGCCCGTTGTCCCATAGGTTAGGATCGAGATCATTCAATACTATAGGAGGGATGTTCACCGGTCAGGTTACGGGCCTTGTTGCTAAGCCTTGAGCAGTCGCAGGCAGTTGCATGGCGACCGGTCGTGTGTGCAGGGAATCAATTTCTTCTCTACACGCCTTCTTTGCAGTTACTATTGGTCGGCGAACGTCCTTCCTACAATATTATCGTGCCATTCACTTGCACAGGTAATCATGTGATTACTAGAGAAGGAAACTTCACATAGTCCTTTAGGAAAGAGGCAACATCGGGCTGATGCCTTTTGCTAAGACTCTGAGTAGTCAGCGTAGGCGCTGAAATGGAAGATCATATGGACAGGAAACTCAACACCCAAAAGTGAGCCTGGTTCCGAGCCTTACGAAGTACCAAGCAATTAACTGGTACGATCCTCGCAACATGAAAGCGGCCCAGCAAGCGCTCCGCAGGAAAGAAATACTGTGTAGATTGACTCGTAAATCGATGTCTATACTGCCAATAGAAGTGAACAGGCGAGTTTCAGAAAGCATTTCAGGAGAAGGAGATGCAATCACCGGGACAAGAAGTCCATTGGCCTGAGGTTTCGGATTCTCACACGAGCCCATCATCGGAGATAATCGCAGAACAGGGTGGTAGAGGCACAACCAACGCAGTATTTATAGGATGCAGTCGGCCGGCAACCATATGCTCACAATAATTAGCAGCACTCGCGTTCATCGCTGGAGGTCGTATTTTGCGCGATTGTTAGTCAACCCCTACTCGAGTTGTTAATGGCCGTGATTTCATCGCCGTTGTTGGTTCTAGGCGTGACGATTACTCGGCAACTTGGCTCGCTTTCACCGGAACTGGTTCCAGATTTTGGCGAGTGCTCCTGTACGTGAAGAATGTCTCGGACGCCGTCAGTCGCCCTTCACGCCACTCGGGATTGGAGGTGTGTACAGAGTGGAGGCAACCATCAGACGCCAGATCATGAGACCAAAAGACCCACCCACGTCTATCGAATCGGGTACAGTCGCTGACAAAGCAACTACACCGGAGAAACTGGGAGACTACTCCGAATACGAATGGCCAAACATGCAGCAGCAGTAAGGAGGAACGACGCTAGCTCCCGGACCGCGGCTCATTAGACGGGATTCGACCACATCCCTAAGTTTGATAAGGCCGGAATTCTCGCAAGAGGTGACAACCGCCTGAGCCGCGAGCTCCTTGGGTCATGGTTCTCCGGCCTGCATTCAATTAACAAGCGCAATGACCTTCCGTCTCCATATTTTGTGCTGAGATTTTGCCTAAGCGAAATAAGTAGACACACGGGTAGGGCGCAGACGACCAACAGTTCCAGTGACAGCGACCCGAACTGCCGAGTAAGCTTCACGCCAAAAATCGACAGCGGTTATGAAATCCCAGTAAGTAACGATCCAGGCACTGATCGGGAAACAATCATCGCCCCAAATACGACCCCCAGTGATGGACGCGAGTGCCGCCAATCACCATAGGCATGTAGTTGTCGGACAACTGCATCCTATAAATACCGCGCTCCTGGTGCATCCAGTATCTCTTTCCGTGACTGCCTGTGATGATAAGTCAAAGTGAGAATCTAAAATTTCGGGCAAATAAACTTCTTGCTCCAGTGATCGCATCCTCTTCTTCTGATATCCACATTTCCCACTCGTCAAATATCGAGGTGGAAATTAGTGAAGGACGTCTATGGTGTGAAGATCTATCTCCGAAAAACAGCGCGGAATGAGGGGCTAAACGGGTGGTCGAGTAGTGCGGTGTCTGAGACAATAGAACACTTTGGTCATAACCAAGTAGACTTTTCGAAGTACACATCAGGTCGGTTACTCAACAAACTCCCAGACTGCACTGGCTCCTTGCTGGACTAGTACTTTTCAGATCAACTCTGTCTCAGAAGACCATTTGGATGTTGCTTCACTTGTGTTGTAACATATCATCGATAAGAGTCTAGCTAGGATGATCACTATAGTAAGCCACAAAGAAAGAGTCTGCAAAAGAAACAAGTCAGAAGGGTGAGCTGAAAGTGAGACACAGGGACAGAAGAGAATGACAGCTAGATAGAGGTTATCGCTTTGCGAGACTGATTACTAACCTTTGCTGTGGAAAGAGTGAGGAATAGCTGCGTTAATGTCTCGTGCAGTCGTCCAAACGTCTGAGGGCTGGAGTTCTGGAGCGGCCACAAACTGCAACTTTCGGCGTCGCTGTTTTTGGACGAGTGCTCTGTCTTGGCTGACTCGGTGGAGGTTGGAGACCGGAACGTGCTGGGTGATAACACAGCTTCACGGAAGTCTGGACAGTGATATAGGAGCTGGAGAGCGGCATTCGCATAGCAAGTGTTCCCCTTGTTACGAAGCCCGGGGAACTTTGCAACTGTTTTTGTCGTGTTCGACTATGAAGTCGCGGAGGGATATGAGAGACAATGAGACAAATGAATAAGAAACTAATAGGAGAGAAAGTGCAGTAAAATTATCATGTGACAATAGAAGTAGTTTATAACAATATTGGCGGCGTGGACAATATCGGTGTCAGTGAGTGCTTATTATGAGAGTTCCTCTAGTCGAATGGCAGTCGGTACAAGTGTCGGTTTGTAAGTGCCTGTTTGTTTCTCGCCAGCCTCATCAGGCGCCTAAGTACGTCTCGCGATAACTACAACCGGACACGGCTCCGACCGGCAGTTCGAAATGGACGAGGGCCTTTCCACTGGTATCGAATGACATTACAGCTCTCACGAGGGAACAACTTTGACTTGGGTGCGAATTAGTTTACTGTGAAAAAGAACTTGTGCTACATATGCCCCGTCCTGTCAACACCTATCATGGGCTAAAGGCAAGGCAATACCAAGACGACCGGGAGTGGAGGTAAGTGTAGCGGCTGATGGAATAGCTAACACATCTCTGCGAGTCCCACGCGTGATAGTCCCTACACGCCCACGAACCGTACTTCGAAACTCGGGAGGGTGTAAGATGTCACAAAAGCCACATTATGGAAACATTGTGGCCTTACTTCCAGTTCGGATAAAAACCAAGGCATCGCACCAGCTGGCAACATTCCAAGTCATGGCGTAGAACATTATCAGTCAAAAGCGCGTTACAGTGAGATAAGTAGGCATCGGATCGGCATGAGGAAAGAAAACCCAGGGTTCACCTCGCTCACTACTCCCTATATCGATATTTTGCTGTGACAGATTGGAGACAGGCCGGCTGGAGGAGATGGGACTATAGGACTGGTATGATAGAAAGCCATAGTTTCACGAAGTTTTTCGTGAGCCTCCAGCTCGCCTATCGGAATCACGAACAAGGTAGATGAAGGATCCTGACCACTCCGACCGTAAATTCCTCCCAGAAACAGTAGGTTTTCTAAAGGCAGTTACCGGGAACTGGCAATGGACTGTTACAAGCCGGACAAGTTTAATTTCAACTTTAACTATTTGAATTGCATTAATACCCAAATCTTGGAGAAAACGGAATGTGAGAGACAGACGAGTAGTCAATCTGACCCGAACGGGAGTCGTTTTCGAATAAAAAACATAAAGAATCACAGGACTACAGTCAGCACTTCAAGACCTGCACCAGTAGGTGGGTGGCGAAGCTGCATGCGCAGAAATACCCCGAGTCACTGATCCATATATACATGGTCAACGCTGGCCGCTCTGGATTGGTTTCGTACAGACCAAGACAATCAAAATTCGGCAGCTGTCCGAGCAACCTACGTGCTGGTGTATGGATCCAAAGTCTACTATCTAGTGTGAGAGGTGTTTATAATACGCGTTTTTCCCCAATTACAACCACTGGGTCCAGAGAAACATGGTGAATGGGACTCCTAACACCACGTTGCAGGAACAAAAACGAACGACACCCTTATTCTATCAAAGTAAGTTCGGTTATTCTTGGAGCTCGGAACACACGCCTTCTTTTGGGTGACCTCGGCAGCGACGTCATAAACACTAAGATTGATGTGTGGGTGGATACGGGGTTGGCGGCCCCGTTGTTCTCTTCAAGTGCTGAATCTCCGGGGGAGGGATGTTCCTGAGAGAAGCTATTATAAAAAATCTGGGTGGCGACGTCCAAGACCAGATTTTGTGTATCGATGCAGCCCCCACTAAGACTCGCGTATTAAAAGGTCACTTAGAAATCTGAAACCGGACACATCCGTCCTAAGCAGCGATAAAAATAAGAGGCGGTCTTTAATTCAACATCTAGTTGCTGCGTCAGTCGTCGTGCTTTATAGAGTCGGTACGTGCCGCAAACTTACCGCAACTTAGAGTATAACCTTCCATTTCAGTTATGTGGCGACCGACATGGGTAGCACAGCAGTCACACAAACTGTGGACCGTGGGATTGAAGACGAGCTACGGGCCAAATCCCATCATCTCCAACTACATTTCCGAGAGTTTGCCTAGGCATCGGCCGCCTAAGCTAGATTAATGCGAGATTACATCCAAAATACATCACTCTTAGGTGGGCACAACACACAGCTGAGCCCAGCATGTGCCAAGCTCACTAAAAGACGGCGTGGCCCAGCTCCATACCAACGACGCGCACGGCCGGTCCGACGGTTCGACTCCAGCCCCAGCCGAGGGCACACATTCCTTCCCCTTTTTTCCTTGTTGTTACGCTGCGAAAACTGCCCATGGGTTGTTGTTCTTCCATATACTATGAAGATACTCTTGAGAAGATCTGCAGGCTAGAACAAATACAACAACCGTCGTCACGAACACGCGCACCGCTTCTTTGCAGTATCCATAGTGTTTTTTTTTTCCTAAAGACTGGTATTGGATGTGCACTTTTCTGAGCCTTCTAATAGCAGGGATACACGGTTATATCAACGTTCGGTTCACTGGAGTACATGATCGTTAAAAACTACCAGAGCAATATAGTGCTGATGGAAGCGAGGCGCAGTGTGGAGTTCATTATCTAACCCTCTAGTGGATGCAACTGTAGATTCAAAAACCGGATAGTCACGAGGAAAAGAACGTCAAATACACCAGGTGTATCTTGTTTGAGCAAGGCATGCTTCATAGTAAAGTAACACAAGAAAGTGAAGTATACACCACGGATAGTGGAGGTATTGGGAACAAATAAGCTGCGCTGCTGCCACATAGGCGCTAAAACCGGCACTACGTCCAAATCATTGCCACCTTAGAAAAAACTGTACGGAAGTGTAGAACTGGGATAATTCAACTCAACAGAACGGCCAAAGTCGCACCAACAGGACTGCATTTTACGCGAGCCGGAACTCGATTTTTCCGGAGACAAATATCGGGCTGACAAAGATGAGTTCCCCGACAAATAAGGGAAGGCTAAATTCCCATCTCCGACTTGTTTCCCCTCGCGATCGAAATGTATTCAAGCCACAGGCCAAAAAACGTGATATTCAAACAAGGAACAATCACTTGGGTCGAAGGTAAATTTACTGCTTTAGGACTGCGCGATGGATGTGCACTATAGTGGCTGGGGGTGAGAATATCCCAACCTGACAGACTCGGCGGTTACTAACCCAATCCAGATGGATGATAGTGGGCAGGGTAAGGAATCGTAATGGGAGACCACTGTGTAAATTAATTACGGCAGTAAGCTTGGTCAACAAGTCGTTTTGGTATATGACAAGAGTAGGAAAAGATACAATGTAAAATATACACTATTAATAATGACCGAAACTTACATCAAAAGTGAGCTGAAGTAGGGGTTCCTTAGTTTGTTCTGCATCTTGGGACGTTCCCTCTGACCAAGACGACCAAGATTTCCGGAGCACAAGACCGGCGCCAGCACCGGCCGCAACAAGGTTTTCTAATTTATAGGCCTTTAAGTACTCACTCACGGCACGCGGTTGGGGTGGGGGGAATTTCCGGACAATCAGATCGAACAGTTTCAATAATTTTGGATTTTTTGTCATCCCGTCAAGCCTCTTACGATAATCAGCGCTCACTCTTAGCAGAACGCCCATTTTGGTTAAGTAAGATATTGTGCATTCTAGCTGCTCGGGAGGCACAGAGTCTGTCATCGAAAGTGTGCTGGTTAAAAAGGAAGTTAGGATTTGACAATGGGAAAAAGCTTCTTCCTCGTGTCCCAAAACAGTTGACACAAGCAGGATTAGGGACATAATGATAATGACCGGTAACGACAGAAAACCTACGGACTGAAATATCTCCAGAGTTTTGAGCAAGATGGGCAGCAGAAGCTCACTGAAAAGATTTGGATTGTTACAGAGAACAGCAGAGTTTAGACGTCCGAACTCTGACAAAATTCCAATAACCCATATATCAACGCCTATAAAATGGCTTATGCCTGATCGTAACCACTGTGACCACGTAAGCAGCCGCAGAATCGTGGTTTTAAGGTGTTGTACGTCAGAAATACTACCAGCGATAACTTTAATGCAGAATTGGACCACATATTCGTAGGTCTCCTGTTCATTTATACACAAGAGCTCCAGTTCAGCTATGAGGGAGGCTAGCGGTAAATAAGTGATCTGAGATGTGCGAGTCGCGAATGCTTTGAAGCACTCGACAAATTCTTGAAAATGCTGGTTATTATGCACGGATAGAGGTGAACAAATAGGCCCCATCCGCAAGAGCAACAGCCGGGACAGGTTGTTGCAAATACTTGAGAACAATATGGGATTGAGTTTAGCCTCCGTGTAAAGATAGTCACATGTAGCCAAGAAGTTAACAATTGTCGGGATTTCGTCTGCGGAGAAAGCAGGACTTTCGGAGAGAAGGTTATCAGAGTTTTCCAGGAAGAGTTTCATTGCCTGATCCAACAACCGGATACGAGAAGTGGAAAGAGGGACACTTAGTGCGGAAACTCTATGAAGAACACATGGAAAGTTGGATAAGGCGACACGGTCCGTCAAACACTTCTTCAAATCATCCCATAACCCATCTGAGGAAGGGACGAAGAAATCCACGATAAGATCCAACGGCAAACCCGGCATGTGCGTGCACAGGAAGTTGACAGACTCATGAGACACTGTAAAATATTCCGCAAAGAAGTGCTTGTCGATCAATTTGTTCTCTATTATTGTTCTTATGAGAGAGCATACTGCTCTAAATACTTCAGGTTCGTCCTGGCATTCAGGTAAGTTCGTAACGGAGGCATGAAGCACCCCACAGATTTCCAGTGGTTTGGTCTCGGATTTCAACAGTGCAGACGCGACTTTGTTTAGTAGAACGACTTTTACGGAGCTATCGCCAGCCGTTGGAATAAGACTTGCGACGATACGGTCCATTCCCAAATAGGACTAAGACAAGACAGTGACCGTTACGTTAGCGACGGTCTACCGATGCGCTTAAGCGGGTTTTCAATTATACGACTTCACTGGGCCTTCGCAGCAGGTTACGGATCCTCGTACTTTTTATCCGCGCATTCAACAGGTCCACGTAAATGCTGCACAACTCGCCCTATTCACAGGAGGAATCCTACAGGGTCGCCGAGCCCTATACATTCTCTATTGGCCCTCGACGTCTGTTAGGTGATTGGCCAGTTTTTTTCCGAGCACATTCTTAGAACATTCCTGGTGCAGTGTTCCATTCAAGAGGTTCAGTCAGGACCGGAGTGTTGTTATCGACCCCGGACAATTTCCTTTTCTTCACAACCTAAGAATCATTTTGAATTTCTGAACTCGGGCATCAAACATTCCTAGCATACAGTCTCAATCATGTCAAAACGGAAAATTATGTGTGAATAGTACAGACAGGTTTCCGATGCGGAAGTTTTTGTAAGAGTATATAAACGTGTATAACTGTCAGTAGAGAACAAATGACGAATTGATCTCGGTGGACTAACAAGAAGGTAACATCCATGAGAAGGGTACGCATGTGGTTAAAACTGCAGAGTTAATCACGAAAGCATGGAAGGTGGAGAACAAAGGTACCAAGGATAAACGAGAGAACGAACATAGGACAAAACGTAAACGGAACTTACCGGATATATAAGTCAGAGGTTTTGACCAAATCCACGCGTCAAGCTTGGTCTGGGATTCATTTATGCTCTTTTTGGGCTGTTACATAGCTCCCCTCTTGGTTTGCAGCACTGTCTTCAGTGCTGCCGTGGTCCGAGGCTGAGGAAATACTGACCTCGACTGCAAGGGGGTAACTTGGTCGTTCGGAAGAATGGGTAGAGTCTGGTTTGCAAAGTGGCAAGCGGCCGCAGTAGGGTCTGATTTTGTTGAATTCTGCTGTGACTGTGGGAGTGTGGGGTTGCGAGGCATCGCGGAGTATGTAGTTTGAAGATGTCAAAACATCCAGAATGACGAACGTCTTTGCCAGGGACAGTGGAGATCCCTCCAAAACAATCTTCATCGACTGCAAGCGTGGTCGGAGAAATGGCTTCTAGACTTCAATGTGCGGAAGTGTGCCGTCCTCCATCTGCGTCTAACTAACTCTCATTCAAATGAAAGCCTGAGGATATATCATCTGAAAGATGTAAGACTCCCCGCAGAATCTTCACAGAAGGATCTCGGGGTCTGGATACAGAACAATCTGAAGCCAACACTGCAGTATCATAAGGCTGCAAAAAATACCATGGGAGTGCTGCATGCAATCAAAAGGGCGTTCGTTACCTTTGACCAAGACCTTTTTGGGAGAGTTTACGTCACTTTTGTTCGGCCCCACTTAGAATATGGCGTACAAGCATGGCGGCCATGACTTGTAAAGGACCAAGCATGCATCGAACGGATGCAACGTAGGGCAACAAAGATGGTAAACGGTCTTAAAAGCCAATCCTACACGGACAGACTGAATTGCCTTAATCTATTCCCTCGGTGTTACAGGCAGCAAAGAGGTGATCTAATCCTGGTTTACAAGATAATGAATGGCCTTGAGCATGGACTTAGCTTTGAGGACATGTTTCAGTGGCACCTTTCACCCAATCTGTGTGGCCACTCGATGAAGCTACGGACAACAATGTCCAGGCTGAACCTTCGTTCTGAATTTTCCACGCAAAGGGTAGTGGAGAACTGGAACGATCTCCCTCGGTCAGTCGTGGAGGCGACATCACTGCAACTCTTCAAGAAACGCTTGGATGATTATTTGTATCCCCTGTTTTCCCTCGACAGTCTGAATCTGAGCTAAATACCCCGGTTCCCCCCATATTTTTTTCTATGTGACAACGCTACTCAAATGAACCAAGTACTGTTTATATAGCGAATATTTTCATTGTTACTGTACAGTTATTTCTAACGAGCTGACATGTAATCAATAGGGTTTTCAAAGGCTTTGCCTATCATCCTTATCAAATAAACTGAAATAAACGAAAGTCCGCGTGTTTGTATGTGGTTTTGGTTTTTGATTAAGTCGCCAACTAGATGTGTAGTGCCCATCGAGTGGCGGCCGCATTGTGTTTTGATGTAAAGATGTCGCACCGATTGTCTCGGGTGCTGACTTGTATGCGTTACGCATCGTATCACGAAGGTAGGAGATGTAGGGGTTATGGTCGTGGGATCCAGTGTATGTTAAGATGCTTGAGATTGGCTGGTAGGCGTAGCTGGCGACCTGTCCAGAGGTAGTTGGGTGTGAATCTAGTGGACAAATGGACTGAGGCCCTATAGGCCAAGAGGCAAAATGGGATTTGTACGTCCCTGTCATGGCGATGGTTGTCTTTTGGAAATGCGTAGAGGAGATTGTGAGTGGTGCAGTTGGTGCTTTCGACATGACCATAACCCTTAGGGTGGTATGGTGTCGTGCGTTTTATTGCTGTCTAGTAAACTGCATACTTCCAGAAAGAGTTAGGAATCTAAATTGCTTTCTCAGTCGGAATGGAAGGACATGGGTGTTCCCCAACAGAAAAGCTAAATACGATTGATTGCATCTACGACGGAAATGACATCTCGATGGAGTAGTGGTACGCTTCGACCCATTTTGTAAAATAGTCCGTCATGACCATAATACGTTCACATTCACGGACCGATACCGGCAGGGGGCCAATAATATCGAAGTTGAAGCGTTCGCTCGGAAAATCCGTAATCATGGGTTCCATCGGTGCCCAGAACAAGGGAATAGGTGACTTGAATAATGCGCCGATGATGCACGATTGGCAGAACTGGAGGACGGAAGAGCGAAGTTAGGCCTCCCAAAATCGTACGTCACTGACCGCATTGGCCTAATTCTGCGTAGAAGTCAGACAGTATGGTGCCAGTTTAACATCCCGGCGCCATTGGACGGATTCGTTTCGGTGAGAGATCGCAGAAGAACTGAATATCGTTGTCGATGAGAATTTCGGCCAGTGGTTCAAGCGGAGGCGTGCTTTTTGACTTGCTCCTTTCATGTCCACTTCAGTGGGTTTATTGATGTTTTGTAACAAGTGACCATCAATTATGGCTGTGTGAGGGTGGATCTGTTGGGTCGTCGATCAAGTGTGACGGGTGTGTTCCGACATCGTAATCCCATTCACTGACGCCATTTTGCCGTCTGGATCTGGTGGTGGCACATCGGTAAATCGTGAGAGTGTGTCAGCCTTTTAATGCTTATGGCCGGACGGTATTGACACTCAGAGTCGAAGTCTTGTAGGAGTTGCTGCCATCGGTCGAGTTTGTCCATGGGGCCTTCGATGGATTATAACCATTGAAGCGCACGATGGTCAATGCGGAGGATAAAATGGCCTTCGATACGTAGTTGTTAAAACTGAAGAATGGATGCTGAAATGGCTAACAGTTCTTTGCGGAATGTATAATAGTTCTGTTGGGGTTTGGTTAAAGTGCTACTCACGAAACGCACCAGGTGTTAGATACTGTTAGCATCCGCTTGGGACAGAACTGTCCTCATGGCGAACCCGCTAGCGTCATTGTCGAGGGTAGAGGGAGTGTATAGAGGTTTAAGTTAGGGAGGGCTAGGAACGCGGCCGAGCAGATGGCGGCTCTAGGGTTAGTAAAATCTTTCTTGCAGTCGGGGGATCAAT